TTTTATCAAAGTATTCATATTTTATTTATCCCTGTTTTTAAATTATTCTCCTCTACACTTTGGTTTAATAATAATTCAAAATCAATAATTGCTTCATACTTCCTTTGAAGTAATGCTATCGAGAATTAAGTAAAATGGCTGAAATCATACGCACATTTTTTCACATTTCACTTATGGTAGATATTTCAAGAAAGCAAAAAAACAAAAACAACAAAAGCTTCCATTTCCAGCCGAATCGCTTACTAATTTATTATATTAATTTAATTGAATTGTATGTTAGTCGGTATAGCTGTCGAAGTTTAAAAGAAGAAAAAACAAAACCAACAAATAAAAAATGGGAAAATTGAATATCGAAAACAGATGTTCACAACGGCTGCCGCGGCCAATCAAAGTGGCCCAAATGACTGCAACAAAAAGCCAACAACAACCTGCCAAATGCTCCCAAACCGACAAGAACACAATGCGTTCGTCAATGGAGCCGGAGACGGAGCCGTCAGTGGAAAGGCAATTAAAAATTGCTTTAGTGTTTTAAGATTGTTTTATAATTTATACGCGCCGTCTACGAAAATTTCACAGCTACTCATTTTAAGTTTTACTCGTACAAATGTACATACATATGTATGCATGTATGAATGTATGTATATCCTTTTGAGTACAATTATTTTTTTATTTTTTTCGATTTCATTAAATTTACAATCAATAATGCGCCATTTCGTATGCAAAATGTGGCATTTTTGTTTTTAATCCAACAAACAAACGGGGGAGGGGGAGAAGTTGTATCTACATATAAAGGGTGTATGTATTTAAAAAGCTTAACTGTCAGCACACAAATCACCCAATCGAACGATTTGTTGTGCTGGAATGCCTGGATCACTGACCATAATGACTGAAGCACTAAGAGAATTTTAAATCACTTAATTCGATGGAAAATAAATTTAATAAAATGTATTTGTAAGCGCTAAAAAATATGGCGTAACTGAAGTGGGTGAGGCATCACGCAGTCAATGGAGAGTTGGGGCGGCGGTAGGGCATTGAATGCTGCGTCTGTATGGCACATTAGCTTGGCTAAATTGCACAGCCAGCAGCTGTCTTAAATAAAACAGTCATCAATGCCATATTTAATATTTCTTGAAGCGGCAAGGCGAAAAAAAATTAAAATTGCACTCCAAAAAGTGATGAAAAAATTTTAAGTTGAAAAGCCAATAAGATTAAATGACTTTGAAATAACGAAAAAAAATATATTCGTTTCATGTTACCTATGCAAGAAAGGTTGTCGATGGAGGAGTTGGCATTAAAAACTTAAGTTTGATGAGAATATTCGGCCCTATTATAGTTGTCGTCGTCGATGTATTTTGCGTCGAGGTCTTGTCTAGCAATAACTTTGAGCTCTTTACTGTTTAACCCGAGTTGTTTCGGCTCTTCTCCACGTTTGCGCGGTCTGCCTCTGCCGATTAGGAGATTCCATTCCAAGCCCTTCTTTGCAATACTGCCGTCTTCTTTGTGTAAAGTGTGCCCAATCGACAGCCATTTCTGTCTTCGAATCCAGATGCCAAGGGCTCCATATTAGCCTTTCTGAGCAACTCCTCATTTGAGATTGTTTTAAGCCAACAAATTCGGGGAATTATTCTAAGACATACATATGAATACGAAAACTTTCAGGCGCCTGGTTATTGCAGTATTGACTTTTCAGGTTGAACTGTCAAGAGTGTACATTGGATTTGAAATGCCTAATCTTTAAGCTGGAACTCAGAACCAAAGGCCGCTCTGGCCTTACTTATACGACGGTCAATGTCTTCGTTAGTATGACTATGCCCCCGTCCGCCCCCATACCGGAGTAGCGACAACAGTTGCCTGTGCTAATTCCTAGGGTATTTATATGACCTCACAGCCTGCAATGACCGACCGGTCTGTATACCTTTTATATGTTGAGCTTGTCTTTGGGAGAATTATTAGATTCCTTAACCTCTTGGAGTTGTAAGTTACTTTAAGTTTTTGACCTGTTGTAGTCCAAGTGACTCCTCCCATTAAGCTCTTCTAAGTAGCCGCTTCTCTGATAGCATTTGGTCCTATGGCAATGAAAATGTTTTACCCTATTGGCCAGGTAGTTCCATAGGACCTGAAAACTATATCAGTTGTACCGTGTTGTGTTCTCGTAGAACATTCAATCTCTCTACACACTCCCATACATGAAGAAATGGCTTTTTAAGTGTGCCACTGCAGATTTAACTCTACACAAAAAGTTACGGCATACGCTTGAAAGATACTAGGGGCTTTTCAATGGGCATGGAGATTGTGCCTAGGCTTTCCTGCATAGAGCTGGTTAGAACCGGGGTTAGACGATCATGTCTTTTCTGAAAGAGAACGGTACATAAGCCATCCGCTTCAGGGGGTTTATGGTATTCAAAGAAACCTATTGCGATTACAGAAGACCAGATAAACAGACATCTTGGTGCGTGCCAGTCTTCCACGGTGATCTGTGGCGTTCTTTGTTATCTTTTGCTACAGGAACCCCGCCAGAAGGACTGGATTTTAACTGTGCCTCTAAAAAAGGTCCTGTGTAGTCTGCCTGCTTCCGAAGGGGAGAAAATCACAGAATTCGACTACTGACTTTGCAAATCTCTTTGCTGTAGGTGGTTTGTATTGACGCATCTTCATTCCGGTTCCCAATTCACTGTGCCCGGTGAAAGAGTTTCCTGAACTCTTTCGATAGAGCTGAGGGACGAAACAATAACTCGCAATCGAAATACTCAAGTGTTCAGGGATATGTATTGTTTTTTTTTTTCAAATGTGTTCACTTTTTAAACTTAAAAAAAAAAAAAACATTTTCATATGATTCATAGCATACTTTCAGGCGATTAGCCGACACGGTAATTTCTAATCGTTTCTGATTTAAGAATGAGACCATTTTTTAGTTATATTTCTATAAAATACTGTAACCCATATACATACTCCCACTCACATCGAACGCAAACAACTACAACAACAACAAACCCCTTAACATTAAAAGTCATTCAACTGCTTAGTTAAGCTGGCTTCATGCGCTTGGTGGCTACAGCAGCGGCGGCGCGCCTGTCAGTCAGCCAAGTCCATCGGCCTTATTCGCCGCTTAATGGATAAAAGATGAAAAGAATCAAAATTATCGAATGCGAGAATTTATGTGGTGTAGTGCTGTTTCTTTTTTAATAATTGAGTGCCATTGTACGCCGAAAAAATTTACTTACAAATATATACTACAAATCTATGTGCGATCACATGTAAATGTATACACAAATGTGTTTATGTACTTTCGTATGGTTTATAATGACATGCATTATTTATTTTGAATTATTTTATTACTTTCAAGTGTTCTATTTCGTATTTCTACAAAACATACATATTTACAAACATAGATACAACATAATTACTCTTTGCATTGCTTTCACTAAGATTTCTCATTCATGTTGTTGTTTTTTTTTTTAATGCTAGCAGCGCTCTATGAAATATTCATCTGAAAGCCTTCTACTAATGGAAGCTGTTAAAAATGGTCAATTCGCATTTGAGTGCATACATATGTATGTATGTATGTATGTATTTATTAATCACATTTCTATTCGTTGATATAAGCAAAATGGCCGCTTTGTCGAAATATCTACTTTTAAAACTGACTCAAGTGTGTCTATGTATGCGTGCATACATATGTGTAATTACTAATAATAAATACGCGTAAATAAATTCAATCGCTTAAACAAACTAACCAATCAGCTTTCGAGTCTTTTTTTTTAATAGCACTTAGAATGATTCTAACGAACGAACTGGTCTGGTCGCTGTTTTATTTATTTATGAGATGCTGTACGTTTGTTGTTGTACGATCGATGCCATTTAATTGGTTATCAAATATGCACGAACAAATGTACATTAGGGTGCGCCACCAAAAAAGTAGCGGTTTTTTTCACCGGAATTTTTAAATTCATTTTATTCTAAGACTTTCCGCCATAATATTTTGGAAAAGTTTACGAGAGCTGGACCAACTTGAAAATACCTCTATAAGTCTTATTATTTGAATTCCGCTAATAAATTTTTGGAAGCTTTTTATGCAGACCTTTTAAGCTTAAATAATCTGAGGTGAGGTGATTTTTTTTTAGAAAAAACTAACTTCGTTTATAAAAAACTCGGTTTTGGATGTTTTTTTTTTCAAATAAGTCCAGCTCACTTAATTCTTAATATTCTTCCGAAATATTTTGGCGAAAATTTCAAGATATATTAAATTTTATATTTCCGATGCAAAAATAGTACCGATTTTTTTTTTGTGTATGGAGAGTGATGCACTCTAATGTACATACATTTGTATATACATACATGTATACTTACAAAAAAATATCTCAAAAAATCAGCACGCAGTTAAAAATTATATGAATAAATTTATATGGAAGATGTAATTTTTTCATGCTTGTTTTATCAAAATGGCATGTCTTTAGAAATTCAAGAAAGAATTTATATACTTATTTGCATTAGTTCATTGTTTTATTTTTTATTTTTAAATAATTATTCTGTTTTCTTTTTCTTAATTTCTGATTGACAAAAACGAGTTCATTGACTCGATTTTGTGCACCTAAATAATCATTAAGATTTTATGATGTGACAGGCTTTGAATGCTTAAATAAATGCACATTACTTAAAATTACATATGTATGGGCTAGCATACATATGAAGGTATGTACATACATACATAAAGGAGGTGCTACATTTTTTGCCCAATACTTAGTAAAATTTTAAAGATAAAAATGCGCCATAATTTTATTTTTTGAAGATTTCGGAAGAGAAATATTCTTCTTTGATCAAAAAATATAAATTTTTAAATTGTTCCTCATATGAGCCAGTTGCCTCTAAAATTTTCGTTAAAATATTTTAAACTTTGTATCTTACTACACTAAGTGGTATAGTATTGCAATATTGGGATAAGACCTCTTATCCATGAAATAAATATGTTTCACTAACAATATTTTCCTTTCATTTCAGGTTAATAAACAATATTCAGCCACCGATTTGGAGGCTTTTATGAAAATCGCCGTCAATTGGCAGAATAGTAATCACAATTTGTTGGAAGGAGTCGATATAAAAGGAGGTAAGTATTGAATATTCCTAGGTTAGATTGGGTTGTTTGGGTAGCTCTGAAAAATAGTAGTGCAGCTGAATTCTTTAAAACTCTTTGGAGATTTTTTATGGTGGCCGTGTGGGGTCCTAAGTCGCCATACAGCATAAGCACTACGGGAATATTACCTTCGTAATCTAAGGCCAGAAAATGTCTTTGGTGGCTGCATCCGTTCTGGAAATTGCTTCTAGTCAAAGTGGAGTTGCTCTGGCATACGCAGCACAAGTAGGTTATTGGCCGGGGGTTGCAGCCAATGTCAGCCTAAAGCAAAAGCGTGCGGTGTAACTCTGCTGTAAGGTACTTTTCAAGGATATCGTTTGCCGATCTAAAGGAAGTTAGGTCGCCAAAACAACAGCCCTTATTCGAGAAAGAACCAGAGTCATTCTATGTTATGTATGTTGCTCTTCATTCTCTTCTCTTAGGCTTTTCTATAAATTTTATAATTTCTAGTAAAAATATGTTTCCTATTTCTGTCAACAGAAATGCAGCAATACATGAACAGTCCTGCCATGAATATGTACAAAAAGCGTGAACGCACACAAAACTGGAATCATCAGGAGAAGAAGTTCTTGCTTGACTTGTGTCGTAAGGACATGCGGATTATCGAAAACAAAAGACTCGATGCGGGGCTGACGGCGGTAAAGAATAAAGCCTGGAAGATAATACATCAGAAATTCTCAAGTCAATTTGGTACAGATCGCACCTGTAATCGCTTGAAGGAGCAATGGCGGCGCATGAAAGGTAAATGAGAATTGGATTTTAAAGAAATTTATAAATTAATGAGCTCTCTTCGGTTTAATGGAATACTTACACCTTAGTTGTTAGATAGTAATTAAAAAAATATTTAAAGCAAACAAATATTTTATTTCAAACTTAAAAAACTGCATGGGATTTTTGGGGCGTAAATTTTTAAAGCAGTTTTCGCTTAAGGAATTGTCGATTTGTAGCCTAATCTGGCTGCACACTCAAAATAAATAGTATTAGCATTTGTTTTAAATGAAATAAGTTTCGATAAGGTTTTTACGCTCAGATTATAAAACGGCACTGTTTTGAATTCTAGCTTGCACGCGTAACGAAATTTTAGACTATAATAATCGTTTGGCCAGATTTGGTGCAGAGGTCGCTGATCGCAAGAAGCCATCGCCATTCACATTCGAAGTTTGGGAATTCATGCAGGAGGCCAAGAAAGCTTGCAAATCAGAAGCTTTGGATGGAATTGACTACTCAAAGATACCGTTGGCGCTTGAAGAGGACTACGAATATCGCGAAGATGAACAAAATGGCGAGGATGATCACGATATGGATGAGTAAGTGGAGGGTTAATGGAATTTTTGGAAACAGCTTTTAAAAAATAATAATAACACTGGTCTACAAGGGTTTTGCG